CCACCACTAATGCGATGACGTCACTTCAAAATTGTACATAGTAAATGGGTTTTCAATTGTATAAAATAACATAGTCCTACACATGTAGTTTACAACTCTGAATCGACTTTTCACCCGAAACGTCCAGATTTTTGGAAAAAAAATCAAAATTATAAAACAAAATTTTGAAATTTAATTTTTAATCTGCTAACCAGAATGCTTTGAAATGTTGCAGATGTTTTAAGGCTATAAAGAGCATCATAAATCTTTAGTCAAAAAATATTTGCTTATCCCCTCCAAAAACTTGATGACGTCAGCTCAAAAGTTTGTGGAATAAATCATATCTAAAATGTACAAAATATGATGAGTCTGTACTTGTGATCTATCACTCCATTCATATTTTTTGGATTTGCATATACAGGGTGACTCAAAAAAATTAATGAATGCGTAAATATATTTTATTGATTTAATCAGGAACTACAAAACCGAATGCTCTGAGATCTTGCAGATGTTTTAACGTCATAAAGAGCATAATAAATGTTTAGTCAAAATATATTTGCTTATCCCCTCCAAAAACTTGATGACGTCAGCTCGAAAATTTGCCGAATAAATCATATCTAAAATGTACAAAATATGATCAGTCTGTACTTGTGATCTATCACTCCATTCATATTTTTTGGATTTGGATATACAGGGTGAGTCAAGAAAATAAATGAAAGCGTAAATTTATTTTACTGATTTACTCAGGAACTACAAAACCGAATGCTTCGAAATCTTGAAGATATTTTAAAATTATCATAAGCATGGTAAATTTTTGATCAAAAACGTATTTGGTCGTCCCCCCTAAAAAATTTATGACGTCACCACAAAATTTTGCTGAATAAATCCTGTCTAAAATGTACAAAATATGGTGAGTCTCTTCTTGTCATTTATCATTCCATTCAAATTTTTTCGATTTGCATATACAGGGTGACTCAAAAAAATTACTGAATGCGTAAATTTATTTTATTGATTTAATCAGGAACTACAAAACCAAATGCTTTGAAATCTTGCAGATGTTTTAAGTTTATAAAGAGCATAATAAATTTTTAGTCAAAATATATTTGGTTATCTTCTACAAAAAACTGATGACGTCAGCTCAAAAGTTTGCCGAATAAATCGTATCTAAAATGTACAAAATATGATGAGTCTGTACTTGTGATTTATCATTCCATTCATATTTTTGGATTTGCATATGCAGGGTGACTCAAAAAAATTAATGAATGCGTGAATTTATTTTATCGATTTAATCAGGAACTACAAAACCGAATCCTTTGAAATCTTGGGAATATTTTAAAGTTATTATAAGCATGGTAAACTTTTGTTCAAAATGTATTTGTTCATCCCTCCTAAAAAAATTGATGACGTCACCCTTAAATTTTGCTGAATAAATCCTATCTAAAATGCAAAAAATATGATGAGTATGTACATGTGATTTATCATTCCATTCATATTTTTTAGATTTTCTTAAGAGGTGGTTCAAAAAAATTAATGAAATCAATTTATTTTATTGATTAAATTAAAGGCAACACTTATTATTAGTATTACACCCCAACCAACCCAATTTGGTAGACACAAAATTTGTTAAAGGAACAACTCGGTTGAAACATAAGGGTAGCACGCTTATTTACATCGACTTTAACATTACAGACCTGCATTTGTTTTATGCGCTCACTTGGTTCCGCGAATGTGAAATAGACATGTTTATAATCAACCAATTGTGAATTTCACCGTCAAGAATTAAAATAAAACCCAATGTTTTATATAATAAGCGGAAGTCGAAGCAATAAAACCGATGGTCGTTTTGTTTACAGTTTCTCTGTTTGACTCTCACGTATGCTGTTACGCCTGTCATCTTAAATTAAGAATGTTTATACATACACGATTTTCAGTTGCCTCTGATACGTATACGTGAGTAAATTGTTTCGTTATTTTATTGATTATTACAAATCAATATTCAAAACGACCCGATTCATTTTCCCGAAAATTTGAGAATATAATAATTTTATTCTTAGTATTACACTACATCTATCCCAACTGATATACGTGTCCTTGCAATAATGTTGATGACGTCATCGCAATTTTTTTTTAAATTCCCACTACAAAAATGTAATGAGAAAAAAAACACAATAGGCATGCAGTCGTCAAGTTTCCGACAGCGAGGGAAGTACTGTCTAAACTCTTTAGACCAATTTTTTTAAGTTTTTACAGAGTTGCAACCTGCGCTCCATTAACGGGGCTGTAAAGTTTTACCAGGTACAAGTCAACTAAATTTACTAAAGTAGATACATACATTTTTTATATAATTTATTTTACATGGATGGGTACACTTCCAGGATACTTCTTGTGCGCCGTAAATTTTAATAAATATGTATTATAATCGCACTTCACATTCCAAATATGAACATTCATGTGTTAATTTTAAATGAAATTCAGTTGGAACTGGAGGTTTTGTGATATACGGGTGTCCCAGATACAACTCCGCGGTCTTACATCTTGAAAACGGATAGATAGGTTGAAATTCTGCAAACGCCATTGCTTTTACATTGGAATCGAAAGCTTAACACTGCAAATAAGACGCATACATGGCGTCAATGTCGTGACGCAAACTCATATTATTTCCCGAGCGTAAGCGAAAAAAGTTTTATAATCTAGTCCTTCGGACGAATGACCACTTTTATATTTTCTCGACGTTTCATGACCGCTACAGTACAAAAACAGTAGTCTGCCGTTTCCGTTTGTCTGTCCGTCTGTCTTGTGTCTGTATCCATTTTTGTTAGACAAGTAATCTCTGAAACTGCTGGACCGATTGTTGTCAAATTTTGTACAAATTTTGATATATGATATTAGAAATATCATGTAGATGGTTAAATGTCAACCAAAATTGTCAATCATCCGCACCAACAATTTGATGACGTAATTTCAAAGAATTCTGTTTATCTGATTTAACTGTTATACAACAATATACTCCTATGACTGTGGTTTACGAATCTGCTTTGAGTTTTCCCTAACTATCCAAATTTTTGCAAAAACATAATACAGGGTATTGTAGTCACTCGACTGAGACTGTATCAATAATTTAAGTCCCCTGTTTTGAGGCGACACACATTCAGCTCAAAACAATTTTTACTTCCCGAACGTAAACTAATTCTTTTGTTACTTCCCGAGCGTAGGCTAAAGAAATATGGTACCTAATTGAGTCCATCAAATTAAAAATGAGTCCCCTTTTTTCTTGAAAATAGAGAATGCGCCCGGCGATATTTAATAATGATAAAATAATAATTGCCATTTGCGTTCCCGTGGCGCAAAGGTTGGGGGGTGCTATTGACGCCGGTTCATACGTTCACCGAAAAGAATCGAAGAATTTGTATGACTTCGTTTGTATAGTTGAATCCTCAAGAAACCCCAGATGTGCTGTTTACAATTTGTCAGGTACTTAACAATAAGACTTTGTCATTTCGAAAAACTGCACAACAAAAATGTATCAGTCGTACTTACGGTGTCGTGCTGCGTGCAGAGCTCTTACCATTTTATTTGACGTGTTTGTGTGACGAATAATTAGAGCACAACTTCTTGTACCTCTATACCTAATTTCAGTTGATTTGTACAACTGGTGCTCAATATATTTAACCGTTTCCATACACTTTAGCAACCCTGTATAAAGGTTATCAGAAAACAAACATTTTTTATATTTTTTCAAAGAAACGGAATTCATTGGACTGTTCTTCAAGGGCGAGGGAAGTTCTGTTGAAGTAACCTTGGACCATTTTGTTTTTAACTAGTATATTATTATAAAATTATCTAAGGGGGGCCAATTGTACCAATTGTAAAATAAAGAACTAGTACTTTATTTTATTCAGTTCCAATTTTTTATGTTCATGGATTCTTTTTGCCGACCGAAAAGGAAATAAAAAAAATAAAAAAGTGTTTTCATCACTGTAATCGTAATTTGACGATTTATCAAAATCAATTGAAAAATATATTATACATCGTTATTTAAAAAATATAGTCTTGCGTCGGAACACCGACGCCATTTATACCTATATGTCATATTTGTAATGTATTAAATTAAACTTCCCCCTTCAAGCTAAAAACAATGGAGCTTACAGAAAATCAATTTCTCTATTCGTTTTCGAGATATGAAACTACGGAGTTTTATGTGGAACATATGCATATGGATAACGCATTGGTTTATCCTGTTTTTCGTTGATCATAAAGGGAGTACGTTAAGATCCTTTGAAAAATAACTTTCAGACTTCTAGAGTGTTATCAAGGGTTTGAAAGTGCTATGAAACAAATAGCTACATATTGCATGACAACATATCCACCGTAGAAGGTCTTTGTTTCTTACGTTTTGCCTTGCTTAAGAACTTAAAGATTAGATTCCAATATTTAATTAAAATCGGTGTAATGTAATAATAGGATCTCTACCCTCAAACTTGCTTCAAGCTGCCACACCTAAATTTTCCTCCAACTTATGTGACTAAACCTCAGTCTTCCTGTTTCAAGTGCTTATTTAATTCGCTACAATAAATAGTTTGTCGACTAACTGTTCCAAAAAACGAAAATTATATATAAATTATAGGATTATAGAACATTAAAATTTTTTTAATTAAGTTCTCTAGACTCCTTCAGAAAACATTTAATGTTAAATCCGCTTCAAAGTACAATATTATCTTTGCTACTAATGATATATAAAGAATTATTACGCAAAAGGTGTTGATATATATCATCAAAACTGGGTATATAATTTCTGCGGGTGAAAAATGCATCGTGAAATACATGTGGTAGTGGTTGTGGTATTCTTCCTTAAAGTTTTTTTTATCAAATTAATTCTATGGTTGCTACCCAAATCACATTTTTCTTCTTGGTGAAGACAATAAATGTTTATTTTGTTGAAAATTCTTGTTAAAAAAGAAGTGATGCTGATACTGTTCTATTGTAAAGATTCATTAAAACTTACATAAGCATTCTATTTTCAGTTATGGCTGCCTTATTTACATGGCAACTCAAATAGCATCTGGTATGAAGTATTTGGAATCTCTGCGGTACGTTCACAAGGACTTGGCGGCGAGGTGAGTTATTCCCTAATTACTTGTAAAGTGTTCCTTTATTATATATGCACCAGACTTTATTTAAATTGTCGAGTTATATTTCACATCACGTACAGAGTGTTTTCCATTACTTGAAACTTACTCAAGCATTATACTAATTAAAACGCTCTGAAAAATGAACAGCAGCCCCTCCATTTCTTGGAATGTCTCATCAAGCTGTCGCATTGTTTATGCACATAAATATGTACTACAAATTGAAATCTTAATAGCGTCAAGATTGCGCCCTAATAACTGAATTTATCGCCATTTACATTTTACGATGGCGAGGAAATTTCATAAGTGCGGCCTCTTTAATTCGATCATTATAATATTAACTTTCTGGCGCTTTCCCCTAACTTTGGGGAAGTTTATCAATATTCGTATATCACATTATGATGCCTTTTTTCAAGACGTGTCTGCTCGGCAATTGCTTAGTCAATGGCTTGCTAAACTTTCTTCTCCATTTAGCACCAAATTATTACAGGAAGTTTTTGCAATAAACGTAAATTATCATTTGATTTTTGCCATTTGTGGAGTTTACGTTATCATAGCATAACAAAAGATACGAGACGTTAAAATATTTGTATTCTACTTTTTTACAGTGCGTTACGATGTACGCCTCATTTTGTATTGATTAAAAAAAAAATAATAATATTTTTAAAGACGGACGGTAATATTACAAAAAAATCTTGAGTAATTTAATTTATAAATTCTTTTGTAACGTGTCACTTTTATTAAAAATCATGAAGATGGAGAACTTTTCCGAAATTGGTGAATCAGATAATGAATTAATGACATACATATTTCATTGGAAAGAAAAACTTACGTACTAACTTACTCCGGTATGGGCCAAAACATTATCACAACTTTTTGTTTAATACCTTAAACATGTTCAAGAGTCATATTGTAATAAAACGATTTAAAAAATATTAAAGGATGGATGAGCATGATACTCATGTTTTATGTATTTATTACTATTTTTGCTATAACTTCAAGAAAAGTGTCTTAAGATGGTGGAGTGGTTTAGTAATTATACTAATTTAGTCTACACCTAAGCTAAATTGGTCGAAGGGACTTTTAACAGCAATGAATATTTAGCATTACCATCTACAAAGGATCGAATTACGGAAGAAACAGTAAGGCACAGAAAGAAGGCCAGGTAGAAATATGTCGTTCCTTTCGTAGTGTAATCGCTAGTTTAATATTCTAGAAATATGATATTATGGTAGTTTAAATGTGTGCAATTCTATTTCGCTTTAAAAGTTCTGTTTACCACTTTAGTTTTGGTGTACTTCATGCTACCATTTATGCCTTCATTATTTCCATTCCACTTTTCCTCTCAATAAGGGCGAAAAGTAGAATTTTACATAAGCTATTCTGAAAAGAACTTGCACAACATCAGCAAATATTTTCGAAGGATTAGGTTGTGGTACGAGGACGGAATTTTTTAATTAGAATTCTATTTACCTGTTTGGGAGACACATTTTTTGTTTAGATTTAAATGGATTCCTAACAATGCAGGCGACTACTTTTCTACTTTGCAAAGATGGGCTCATAATCATGAAAATTGTAAAAATCACGTTACGTGCTCATTTCTGAAGTCTAATGGTTAAAGGCATAATTGCGACATAGTTCCTAGTATTATATTATTATTAAACAATCATTTGTAGACACCATTTTCTATGAGTTCCTGCAAGAGCCTTAAGAATAAACCAAATTAAAGTCGAAAAATCAAATTTAGGGATACATTACGAGGTCACTGAGACAAGAACAACAGTTATAAACAGTAGTGAAGATCTTAGATAATTTCTGAAACTACTGGACTGATTGTTGTCAGTTAAATTTTATGCCTATTCTAGGAATATCGTGTAAATGGTAAAACGTTAACCAAAATTGATCTAATTATCGCCATAATATGATGAAGTGTTTCAAACTTTTGCGTAGTAAATTTTATTTAAACGCCTACAATTGTGTTTATAAAGTCGTCTTAATTTTTTACCGTAGACATCCAGATTTTTAGAAAAAATTAAAATTGTATAACAACATTTTACAATTTAACCTTAAAACTACAAAATCGAATGTTCTTAATCAACATTTATCCGTTTATTCTACATACGGAATAAACGGAATAAATCCTACCTAAAATGTCCAAAACATTACGTTTTCACATTTGTGCTTCATACATACTTCCGGTTTATCAATACGCTCATAGTTTTTAGAAGGTGCAGGGTGATGGTCTGATGGTGATTAAAAGAAATTTAATTTGAATGAGGCAATTTATTTCATCCATCAAATCGAGAAGGACTAACCTTATTTTCTGGAAAATTTGGGGAAAGAGTAATGTTATTATGAGTATTACCCTGCACCTATCCAAATTGATATATTTACGTGTCCTTGCTCAAATATTGATTATGTCTTCACAAAATTGTTTACCTTTCCCTTTACACCACACATTTTATCTTTTTAAATTTAACTTATAGGGGTTGTCATAAAAAAATAAATTTGCAAAGTTAAGTTACATAATTTTTCGAAAAATCTGGATTTAGTGTAGTGTACAGGGATGAGGCAAGTTCTGTCTAAATAACCTTAGACCAGTTTTTGTTGTTCAATTTCGCTTTTGGTTTTATTCTTTCAGTAATTAATAACATGTGCGCAATTTATATAGTGATGTGACTCAAATTAGTAATTGGTCGAAAGTTGTTTTGACAGAACTTCCCTCGCACCTAAAGTACAATGAAACATATCCAGCATTTTCGAGTTGAGTTTTTCTTTTACACAATTTTCTGATTGCTTCATCTTTTTTTTTTTTGCAAGAACAAGTATATCAACTTGAATTGGAGCAGTGCAGTGTAGTACTAAAAATGACAGTATTGTATTCCCAAAATTTTCTGGGAAAATGGAGTGAGCTATTTCTGATTCAATCACTAAAATAATTTGACTTATTCATTAATTTTTTTGGGCCATCTATTCAAGTAAATCTAAAAAATCGGGACGGCAGACGGATAGAGAGACAGACAAACGGACAGACAGATGGACAGACAGATCGACAGACAGACACACAGACATACAGACAGACGGATACACAGATGGAAATGGGAGACCTATTTCTTCGTACTCTAGGGGTCATGAAAATACAGTGAAAAATCACAAGTGAAACTTGTCCTACTTTGCACATTTTGGGTAGAATTTATTCAGCAAAATTTTAACATGACGTCATCAATTTTTTGGGGTTGATACAGGTATACATTTTGATTAAAAAGTTACCATGCTTATAATAACTTCAAAACGTCTGCAAGATTTCAAAGTATTCAGTTTTGTAATACTTGATTTAATCAATAAAATAAATCGACTCAGTCAATAATTTTTTGAGACGCCCTGTATAAGCAAATCTAGAAAATATTAATGCAGTGATATATCACAAGTATAGACTCATCGTTTTTTGCTTATTTAAAATAGGATTTATTAGCAATATTTTGAGGTGATGTCATCAATTTTTTAGGGGGGGGGATGACCAAATACATTTTGATTAAAAATGATAACTTAAAAACACCTCCGAGATTTCAACGCATTCGGTTGTGCAGTTTCTCATTAAATCAATAAAATAAATTCCCACATTCATTAATTTTTTGAGTCACCTTGTATAAGCAAATCCAAACACACATTTTAGTTATGATTTATTCGGCAAAATGTTGAGCTGACGTCATCAACTTTTAGGACGGGATAAGCAAATATATTTTGATTAAAAATTTGTTATGCTTATCATAACTTTAAAAAACATCTGCAAGATTTCAGAAGATTCGGTTTGGCAATTAATTTGTGAAATGTTGTTTTATAATTTTGATTTTTTTTTCAAAAATCTAGACGTTTCGGATACAAACTCAACACGGAGTCATAAACTACATTTGTAGAACTAGGTTATTTTATACAATTTGAAACCCATTTACTATATACTATCACGGCCAAAAAAATGGAAACACCTAACCTGCTCATGTCATCGATTTTTATTTAATTTTTCTATTGTAAGTGCAAATTTTCTGTCACGTTGATGTTAAAAGACGTCAGGAAATCAGAGGCGTTCATTCTAAAACAGACACAAAATAAATTTAACAAATAGAATAGAAAAATTAAATAAAAATCGATGACATGAGCAGATGTGTTTCCATTTTTTTGGCCGTGATAGTACAATTTTGAGGTGACGTCATCACATTATTGGTGGAGATGGTGGTAAGACAAGTTTTGGTTAGAGTTTCACCATCTACATGATATTCCTAATATAAATATAAAATTTGACAACAATCGGCTCAGTACTTTCGGAGATTATCTGTCTAATAAAAATCGGGACTGCAGACAGACGGAGCGACGGACAGACAGACGAACGGACAGACGGACGGAAACGGAAGACCAATTCCTTCGTACTCTAAGGGTCATGAACGGTCGAGAAAACGTAAAAGTACAGAGTCGGCCGACGGATTCGTTTACAATAATTCCTTCCCTTACGCTTGTTAGGTAAAAATGTTTAAATAAATGTATTATTATTAATTAATTTGAAATTAACCGTTTTCTGAACCAAAGTTAGAAAATAATATGTGCTTTTTGCTTCCGGAGCGTAAGGGTCAGACGAATGTTTACTGTCGTCTGTCTTCTGTCGTCTGTCTGTGTTAATTTTTATAGATTTTATTAGACAGATATTTCTGAAACTACTAAACCTATTGTCGTCAAATTTTATGTGTATGTTAGGAATATCGTGTAGGTGGTCAAACGTTAACGAAGATTTGTCTAATCATCCCCACCAACAGTGGCCAACGTCATCTCGATCATTGACAATAGAAAATATTATTTAAATTTTATAAAATAAGATACTCCTACACTTGTGGTTTATGAAGCCGTGTTGAGTTTTTACCTCAGAGCCAGATTTTTGGAAAAAAAAATCAAAACGGTATAACACATTATTTCAATTTAACTTTGAAAATACGAAACCGAATGCTCTGAAATTTGAAGCATACTCAATCGTTAATCGTGAATCTACATTTTTTCGTTCATCATCATTTTACAATTTAAATCAAAATTGTATAGGAACATTTTACAGTTTAACTTTGAAACTCCAAAACTGAATGTTCTGAAATTTTGCAAACATTTTAAAGTTATAGACAGCATGCTATACCATTAATTAAAATGTATTTGTGTATGGCCTCCCCAGAAAACATGCTCTCGCATGTGTGATTTATGAATCCGTGTTGAATTTTTACCCTTGACATCCAGATTTTTGGAAAAAGATCGAAATTGTTAGATAACATTTTTCAATTTAACTTTAAAATTGCAAAACCAAATGGTGCGAAATCTTGCAGATATTTATTTTAAGGTTATTGGAAGCATGTCGAAGTTACGTATGCGGTCGGAAATTGAAAATATCTAAATTTTTTCCTTTTGAAGATCTACTTTAAATATATCTAGTTATATGGTGTGGACAAACTTTGGAATTTACGCCCCGCGGCGCAGAACCTGCCGACATGTTATTTATACCAGTGGTTTTTACTTTACAAAGGTTATCAGAGAACGAAAATCGCAAAATCAAGTTTTATAATTTTTGGAAGTAGCGGGATTTGTTGGACTATACTTCAAGAGCGACGGAAGTTCGGCTGAAATAACCTTCGAGCAATATTTTCTGTGGTTGAGAATAAACGATTTATTATAAATCATGAAAATACTTGTTTGTTTCCACGTTTGTTTCTTATGTTTAATATACTGAGAAAACTAAAAAACTGCAACATTTTTCGTCTACAGGGTGAGTCACTAAGGCCTCGTTCCTCGATATCTCGTTAATTATTAGAAATAGAAAAAGAAGTTAAAGGATAAAGTTATATGTTGCTTTGTTTCTGTAGAACTTTCTAACTTCCGATCAACGTTATTGATTATTATCCTTCTGGCTTGTGGAAAATTCGGTGCAAATAACTTTTGTAGATTTTTATTTAAAACGGATTTTATACTAGGTGAGTCACTAAGCGCGCAGTCTTCGATATCATTAATTATATTACAGATAGAAAAACTTACGGACTATAGTTGTAGGTTCTTTGAATATCTCATACATTAAAGTTATTTTCAATTATACAGAGTGTTCTATTTTTGCAATGTAACTTACAACTTACATATATTTTTAGGCACTCAGATTGGCTTGTTCTTATGTTTTATAACAGAAGTCTGTTTTTTAAATCACCACCTTATTTCAATTTTCTTGAAATTTTCTGGCAATCGTATCAAGAGTTTACAAATAAAATCGAATCTTGCGGTATCAAAATTACGTTGTATTTTATAATGTAGAGTGCTTATGAAAAAATTCGAAAAGACTACAATTTGCAGTTAACAATATTTCAAGTTTGTCACATCCTATTTACTGTATCATATTTTGCTTTTATTTTGTTATTTTTTTGTTAAGTATTTTCCATATTAAAGTTGATAAGTTTTGCGATTTTTCAAAAAAATTGAAGTAATGCTTCAACGTCGCCTTGAAATGTCAAAATCGTAATTATAAAGCATAACAAGTGACCAATCTGAATATGTAAAAATATTAGGATGCCCTGTTTGAAAAAACTAATGGTTGTGTGTTACCCATTTAAAATAAAACATCCTGTGTGCTGCAAATAATTTTAGTGCATTCTAAACAAAGAGCTGTACAATTTTAATTTTTGACTTTTTTCTCGAATTGTAAAAATTAAAAAGATATCAAGGAGCGTGCGTTAAGTGACTTACCATGTACATACAAAGACCGATTCATTTAAAGTAGATTATACCAAAGCAACTTCTATCTGCATTTATATTTAATAAATTGTGTTCTTAATTAGCCGAGTAATTTTTAAATTATTGAAAATACGGATCACAATTATGAACAAATATTCTTGACACGGTAGTTTTTCTCAAGCTTGATGTGAATTTCTATAATTCAAATGTTAGATTAATGAATTTATAATTCAAGTAATGCAAACATTGTACAGCACTCTCCTATATTCTGTTATTGTTTATTGTACTTACTTGAGACAAATTTTACATTAAAAATATCAGTAGCGTATAGTTGTTTACAATCAGCGTCTGAGAGTATTTTTTTACAGAAATTGCCTCGTGGGAAGACGTTACGAAATCAAAGTTTCCGATCTGGGATCGTATCGGCAGTTGTACAGTTCAGATTATTGTCAAATTGAAGAGTCTCGACCTCTGCCGATTCGTTGGATGGCATGGGAAAGTGTGCTGTTGGTAAGTACCTTAAATCTTCTTAAAAATTCCGTTCTTTTTCTCAACGAGAAATTTATATTCGCTAAGACAGTAGTTTATCATTAAAATTCGCAACTGTTCATGATGTATTGAATTTTAATATCAGAAATTGCAAATGAGAGACAAAATTTACAACCTTTCATATTCAGGGCAAATTCTCGAGCAAAAGTGACGTATGGTCCTTCGCCGTCTTGCTGTGGGAAATAATGACATTCGCCAGAGAACAGCCTTTCGAGGAGTTAAGCGACGATAAAGTTATAGAAAATGTCACTCATTTCTACCAGGACGACGGCAAACACGTAAGTATTGTGTGAAGAGTCCTTTTGAGGGCGATATGTAATACTTTATTGTTTGCAGGTCTTGCTGAGCACGCCAATCAATTGTCCTAAAGAGATATTCGATCTAATGTGCGAATGTTGGCAAAGAAATGAATCTGACAGGCCAAACTTCCGAGAGATCCATTTATTTCTACAGAGAAAAAACTTAGGTTACAATCCTGAGCTTCACTGACATCTGCTAATGATGTACATTATTGACAATAAATTGAAAGAATTGCGTGATATATTCCACCTTTAATAGTGGCGAATCATAATCGTTATTCTAAAATGCTGTATAATAATGTTGAACATATATTATTCGACGCAGTTGTTACCGCTAATACCAGTTATCACTTGCGCTTCATTGATAGTACGCTTAAATCTGCGTTCGTGCCTTCTATATTCTCCTTACATCTCATCGCATTTTACTTACGAGTAATATCCATATCACTCAATTCAGAAAATGACTTTAACAAAGATCTCTGCTAACATAAAAACTCTCGTTTTAGGTATATTGCTATCTCTACGTCTTGTGATACTATTTTTATTTATCTTTTTGATATAATGTGCAATATAAAGCTGAAAGCATTTAATGATGTATTAAAGATAATAGTTTGTTAAGTGTGTTACAGTTTCTGTTAATTAATTTTGTGATGATGAATTTTTAAAGTAATAATTATTTTATTATGTATGATTCTTTGTATTTTGTGACGTAATTTGTATACGGATGTTTCGACAACAACTTTTGAGTGTTTGAAAAAATCGTCAAGAAAAATAAAACGAATTATATGATGTAAGCGCAAAAATATTTGCTTCCTTGTGTACAAATATGTTGTTTCCTTGTAGGCCTAATACAACGTTAGAAATTAAAAATTTTGTAACGAATAGAATTTTGAGTTTTATTTTTATATCTTACAACGTCTACAGTTAAAAGTTTAAAAATAAAACTGTCACCATTATGTACTATTTATTATAGATTATAAAATAATATGTAAAACTCTTAACGAATAATTATTATGAACTGCCTGTATTGTCGACTGAATAAATAGTGCAAATGATTACAAAAAGCATTCATATCATGATAGTATTATAAACTATAATGTAAATATGTATCTATGTAAAACGTATTTCTTTTGGGTTTTATACTTTTAACATGATTACACATTGTTTGTTAACACTGGTAAACTGGACCAATAAAACATATTAAAATTATGCGCAGTTTAATTTTCTACGACATCCTGGACTTATCTGCTGTACAACAAAGGCGTCTTCTGGTCGTCTCATTTTCTAAAACTATTTCTAACCGACGAGACCGTTACGCTAGTTTCATCGTTTTTAATTTCAAGATAACTTTAGTTTATGAAAGAACAAAATGTGTACTGTTCGTGATAAATAATTTGGTAGATTGGTAAAACGACGTCTCCTGCACGGCTCGTTGATGGCGAGACGCATCAGTGTTATCGTTATGATGGATTCTGGCGGCATATTTGCCCCTAACGATATGCAAAAAGGAAATTAAAGATGTTGCGATAAGTTTACATCGTCCTGAAAGTCTGCAACTGAAGATATCATTTCTCGTCTAAGATTAATATTCGGCGTTTTTTCTTTCTTTGTTAATGTTAAAAGACCAACAAGGTTTGCTGTAATGAGCATTCAAATGTTCAATATCTTCTTCCGTTCGAGATATCAGACAAACAGAGTTTTACTGTAAGATGTGCGGAAGTTGTGGGCTAGAAAAATGAGATTCGTATCTGTGTATAACCGTGCTCTGAATAACTGTTGGTACGAAAAATAATAAGCAAAAATTGTGAACGGATAACTCACATCTTGTTTATTCAACTTCAACTTTTTAGTACACCCTACACCATAACTTTTAACTGTTGAAACCATGCGTGGATTACATCAAATAAATCGAATTCTGCCACTTACTTTGCTCTTGAATTATAAGATCTAGTACATTTTTAACACTTATTAACGCACTTTGAAACTTATAAAGATAGACATATGAATTCTTAAAAATATTTTGAAAATTGTTCATATTAAATTTTAGAATGAAAAATAAAAATTTTGTACCTTGTCAAAAATAAAGTTTCTCTTTGTTCTGTCACATTCTGAGCGAGCACCACTCAAAATTGTAAGATGAAAAATATTCTTTTAAAATATATTAACTTTCAGGTCAATCAAAATAACAAGTAATCATGAGAAATAGCTCGGTATATCCTATGTAGCACACAGTTCGTTTAATGGTGAATGGATAATTAAACCATCTCAAAATATTCAAATAAACTTTGAGGACGGATATAAAGTACCTAATCCATTTTTCTAAGACACTTAAGAAAGCAATATCTATAATTAAAGTTTAATATAAGACACTTTTCTTCATATCCTAAGCAATCATCTAATTTAGAGCACTGTCAATTGTTATTAGAAACGTTTTTACTTCCCGAGTGTAAATTGGGGAAGTATTGTACTAGGGTCCATCTGACGAATGGCTACTTAAATGTGTTTTCGACCGTTCATGACCCCTAGAATACGAAAAAGTAGGTCTCCAGTCTGTTGTCTGTCATCTCTCTGCCTGTGTCGATTTTCATTGGATAAATAATCTCCGAAATTTCTGGAGCGATTGTTGCAAAATTTTGTACGTATCTAGACGGTAACCAAAATTTATCTAATCACCCCCATCAACAATGGGATGACGTCATCTCCAAAATTTATATTAGTAAATATTATTTCAATTTTATAAAATAAGATACTCTGTATTTGTGGCTTATGAATCCGTGTTGAGTTTTTACCCTAGACAAACACTATCTTGCAATTTAACTTTCAATTTGCAACCGAATGGTCTGAAATATTGCAAACATTTCAAGTTATCGCAAGCATGGTAAATCGCTAATCAAAATTAATACAATTCTATTTAAAGTATGCAATATATTATATTATCAGTATATATTTCTGGTTTGTCAATGTATAAATATGTTTTAAAATTACTCATACAGGGTGATTCAAAATAAATTATTCCGGCAATCTTTTTTTTGATCAAATGAAGAACGCCACACACTATTTTCCGGAAAATTTGATTATACAGTACTGTTATTAGTAGTATTACACTGCACATATTCAAATTGATAAAATGCTTAAAACATAACATAACATGCTTCTTTCGCTGTACTTTAACAATGCATATATCTTTATTTTAGATTGTAGTAGTTATCAAAAAACAACTTCTAACTTTTCGAACGTTAAATATGTGTTTGTTCTTCTATAATAATTCAAGGGTGAAGCAAGTTCGGTCTAAATAATTTTGGACCATTTTTTTTATTTGTACGCTTAGTTTAATTTATCTAGTAACAGCTTTAACTTAACAGTTCATTTTAGATTGTCCACATTTACTGTCATGTGTATTTATTTTTAAGGTGTCAAAAGAATTTCTAGACATATTAATGTAACGTTTACGTAGAAAAGTTTTTACGTTTGAGATAAGCAGGCTGACCTCATTTACTGGAACAAGTGTGGTGCCACCATGAGTTTAAAAGGTAGGTGTTATCGTTTACAGTGCAGGTAGGAAAACTGTATGTTTGTTTTAATTTGTTGATTTTTATTTCCTGACGATAAACAAAGGAAGTATTGTAATCGAGTCCATCGGCCGACTCTCTACTTTTACGTTTTCTCGATCTTTCATGGCCCCTAGAGTACGAAGAAATAAGTCTTCCGTTTCCGTCTGTTCGTCTGTCTATCTGTCCATCTGCCGTTCCGATTTTTATTATACAGATAATCTCCGAAATTACTGGCTCGATTGTTGTCAAATTTTGTATTTATATTACGAATATCATGTAGATGGTAAAACACTAACCAAAATTTGTCTAATCATCCCCACCACTAATGCGATGACGTCACTTCAAAATTGTATATAGCAAATGGGTTTTAAATTGTATAAAATAATATAGTCCTACGCATGTAGTTTATGAGTCCGTGTTGAGTTTTTATCTGAAACGTCCAGATTTTTGGAACCATGCAGATGTTTTAAAGTTATGATAAGCCTGATAAATGTTTAATCAAAATATATTTACTTATCCCCTCCAAAAAAATTGATGACGTCAGCTTAAAATTCAGTTAAAAAAACAATCTAATCTGCAAAACAAAATTTTACAGTTTACCTTAGAAATTTTCTAAATGCTCAATAATTTAAGATACTTGATATATCGCTAATAAAAAATTTGCATATTCATCCTGATCAAGATTTTGATGACGTCAATTCAAAAGTTTGTTAAGTTAATCCTATTTATATACACGTTTCAAAAAATTCATAGATGTAGCAATTTATTTTTTAGATTACTTTTAAATCAACTTGTTTAATTTTTCCAAAATTCTGGACCGTTGCTATTATTAGTGTGATCTTGTAGTAGTAGTAATGTACCTCAAAAAACATCGATGACGTCACCGGAAAATGTTATTGATAAAATCTGCCTTTTCCTGTATTTCCTTTTATCTTAGCATAGGGGTTTTCATAGAAAAATTAAATTTACAGAATCCAATTTGATTGTTCTTCAGGGACAAGAGAAGCTGCATCTAAATCACTTTAAACCAATTTTCCATTTAATAATTTTTTTCTTTAACAGGTAGTAGTTTTAAAGTGATGAATAATCAGCTTAATAAAACGTTGTGTCTAACTTCAGAGACACTTCAAACTTAGATAAATTTTAAAATTTGCTTTTACCAATCATTTTTATTGTGACAACTTAACCTTAAAACGTCTGCATAGTTTGAAGCAATCAGTAGTTTTAAAACTAAATTGTATTTTTTTTTTCGCAAAACTTACATCTACTTGTCAAAATTTTGAGATGACGTTATCAAATTTTTTGTAAAGATAACTAGAGGATTGTGGTAAACGAAGTCAGTCCAGTAGTTTTGCAAATTATCTGTTCTAAAAAAAAGGCGGACTGCAGACACACCGAAGTGCCTAGAAAACACGAAATTTACCATTCCTAAAATAAAGTTGAAGTTAGTTTACACATTGGTAAATAATAAATAAAATACATCAAAGTAAATACTTGAGTGAATATATGAGTTTTTCTCGTTTCCAGTTATTTAAATGAAGTTTAAAGGCGCAATTTCTTTTGGCAGGATTGGCGAAAATCAATCGCTTTAAGATATTTTGTTTCGACTTTAAATATTTGGTGTACTATGCGATTTTTTCGTATATCGAATATAGAAGGAAAAGGAAAACGAGCAATTCGAAAACTTCACTAAATGTTTCACTGGTTATCAGAGCTGTTCAAAGTACTCAAAAAAAGTACTTGAAGTACCAAGTACAAAGTACTACTTGAAATAGTGTTCAAGTAAAGTACCAAGTACTTACTTTCAGCAAGAGTATTTCAAGTATCAAGTACTTTTCAGATGTACTTGAAGTACAAGCCAAGTACATTACTTCAAGTACTTACGAGTACTTGAAGTACTGGAGGTATACTTCAAGTACTTACAAATACTTGAAGTACTGAAAATGCTTCAAGTACTTTCTAATTATTTGAAATACTGTAGAACTAGATAACTTTTCCTGTTTTTTTAAAAAAGCTTAATATATTTTAGAACTGAATTTTTTAATACTCAGAATTTAAGTATACAATAATACATATTTCGCCACATAAAAAATTGCATAAGCATCAACTTAAATGCAGAATGGTAGCTCACTTATTAATAATACTGTGTTATTTATAGACAATATTCTTTTGAAATACTTTTACATCTTTCTGTTGACACAATGCCTTCGACAAAATTAACGTCTATTTCTAAATTAAAATTTAAAATAAAATACATGAGGGCGTTGTCTATGTATGTTTACTATTAATTTATAACAAAAACATCGGCGCTGTATGGTATTTTTTCAGGCTTCTGTTGCTTTTTTTTAATATTTTGTATTTTGGTTCACCAGCAAAACGTTCTGATTTTTTAATAAAGTTGTGTTAAAAATATATGAATTTTATGAACCGGTTCCGTGTTTAAGTTTATGGGTAGTTTACAGCACCCTAAATCATTACCCATTGTGAAAAGGCACAGGGCCGGATTTGTGAAACTGAAATTTTTCAGAAAAAAATTTTAAGAGCACTGCGATACATATACATGCTCGTGACATAAAAATGTTTAAGTCACTATGTTGCATTTTGAAAAAAAAACGTATGAATTTTTTAAATAAAAAATATAATGCCTAAAACGAGAGT